GTTTAATGATTAGGTTTTTAACAATCTAAGCAAGGGATTTAAGGTTGGTGTAAAATTGTATATTAATCCCTAATATTAAAACAATTTCAGATAAATTAGTAACAAGGATCTATATAAATAAGTGCCTATGGTCATAATTAATAAAAATATCTAATTAGCATAATTTCTTAAATTCGCTACCTAGTTAGATATAATTGATTTAATTGTCTAGTAGTGATTGTAAATATCATAATGGCAAAATACCTTAATATTCAAGAATATCTAAACAACACTTATAATAAAAATACTGAACAAATAATATTTGACAACCCCGCCTTACAACTCTCGGAAAAAGGAGAATTAGTGATTAGTGATTATCCTAATTTAGAAGAGATTTATGTAACCGGTTCAGAACATATTAAGATTAACAATATTACCAAAGTAACCATTAATAATTGTCCTAAAGTAAAAAAGATAAATATTACTACCTTTGTAGATAATAAAAGATTAGAAATTAATAATTGTCCTAATTTAGAAATACTTTATTGTAGAAATAATAATCTAACTAATTTAGATTTCTTAAATAACTTAAATCCTAAGAAGTTAGAAAGACTTAGTTTAGATGATAATAACTTCCCCAAACAAGATTTAACTATTTTTACTAAGTTTAAGGAATTGAAAATACTAGCAATATCAGGAATAACTAAATCTAGTTATTTTTGTGGTTCTTTAAAACCTTTACAAGAACTGAAAAAATTAGAAACCCTTAATATTAATGGAACTGATATCACTCATGGTTTAGAATTCTTACCTTACAATGTAAAAAATATTGATTGTTCTCCTGTAAGACCAAATGCTAAAGTAACCGATATTCATGAAGAATTGCAATCTTTTGGAGGAGATATTAATAAATGAAGAGAAGTAAAGTTGGAAAAGAAAAGTTATTTGTCTTTAGCTCCTTTAATGCCTGCTGATTTAAGGAATAAAGCAACTGATCTAAATGAAGAAGAAAGAAAAAAATTAATTAGTAAATTAGAGTCAGATGAAGAACTTGCTGAAACCTTTATCGGAGGCAAAAATAAGAATAGGCACTGAAATAAGAAAGTCTCTAATTCACAAGGCAGAAGTTGTA